CTTTTTTATTAACCAAAACATATGTTTTGCCTTATTATACTTCTACTGCATTATAAAAAAAACCCCTCAAAATTCAAACAAACTTTAAATTAAAGCTATACTTTATAACTTAATTATTACTCTAATCGTCTTTACCTTTATATTAGCGCGACGGTTTGCTTCATGCAGCCAAGAGATGTAGTTTGCGTGCAGCGGTTGGAAGTTTTGAGCTGCCGTTCAGTCTGTATTTAACAGTGCGATGAGGTTTGATGCACCGAGTCCGAAGCAATCAATCACAGAACACGAGAGAGGCCGTGCTTTTATTATTTTAATTTAACACATTAATAATGAAATTAAACAATTATAGGATAATATTTAAATTAATTTTAAGCCATCTCCCCTCCCTAGTGGGCCGCGACCCCCCGGTTGAGAACCACTGCCTTAAAACCAAGACTGTAAGATTACAACAGCAGGAATTTATCTTCAAGACAGTTGATAACAGAGGAAGTGGTGACACGAATCTAGGTGAAATGTATGAAAAGCGTTAATCTATAGATTTATAAAGTTAAAAGAAGGGACGTATACATGACGAATATAAAGCTTCCTTTCAACAACAGTCATGTTCAGACTTGCCCTGTCAGCAGTAGAGGTCTGTTAATAGATTAATCCCTAGAGAATGTCATTACTGAGCACATCACGTTCCAACACTTTTGTCAACATCTCCAGGGCTCAACACAATATAAGTCATTGGTAACAGTAGACATAAGAGTGAGTAAGATTCTTGCAGTGTTACAATGAATGCCATTTTGCACCTATGCATTGAAAAATTAGATCTTCCTTTCTTCAGTATGCAGCTATTTCGCTTAGAGCTTTTGCCTTTGTCCTGCTGCATGAAGCAAGATACATAAACTCTGAGTTTAAGGGTAGGTTTAGTGACAAAAAAAAAAAATCCAACCTGGTTTATAATGAGTTCAGTGGGCTCACAACATTCGCAATAAACATTCTCTGTCAGCTCAAGTTTTTATCCATTGTTTATGATTTACTCTAGAATATGTGCAGCAAACAGCCAATTACGTGAAACATGGAGAGAGACAGTTCAACTCACTTCTTATGAAAAATATCATGAATTTAATGTATTTACAAGGCAAGAAGAAACATCATTACTAAAGGCACCTATGTATTTTACTATCTCACAGCCATCTGCTGGTGTGCCTATGACAGCCACCAGAGGGCACTTCTCCCAGATCATTGTTTTTGTATTGGACTTCATTTCCCAGTACCCTTTGCCCGGACTATCATTCCTCATTGTTTTCTGCTGTGTGTAATTTACCTGTTTAGCTCACCCTATATAACCGATGTTTACTCTGCCTTTAGATTATTGAGGTTTTGTATTGTCACCCTGTCTTCCGTATGTTTGCTTGATGCCTGTTATCTGGATTATCTTACTTGTGCTTTCTGCCTTTGCTTAGTTTGGGAAGATTTCGATTTATATTAAAGCTGCACATGGATCTTTTACGAAGTCTTTGAGGGATATTCGTGACAGAAAACCTCAATCAACACACAGATCCAGCAGCTAGGTAGTATTCGTGGCTTTTTGGACCATGGGCATTTGGATTCTTCCTCCAGCATCTAAGAAGGAGCTGAGGGCATGCCTCCAGATGTTGGCAACACTGTGTCAACAGGGGTTGGGAGTAGGAGGCCTAGCTCAGACATTTTGGACCATGTCGGATGTGGCTGGAACTTTGCAAGGCTGAGCTGAAAAACATCTTTAATGAATGCCTTGACAACCCCTTGCCTCTGTGGGAGATGGAGGGACTTAAGATTCTGGATTTTTGGGGCTTCATTGACTATCTCCAGTACTGCAGCCGAATAGTTGCACCAGGTCAGTCTGTGCCCATTGAAGTGCCCCTGGAGAAGGCAGAGTCTGCCACAACACCTTCAGAGGATAGTGAGGCTTCACTGTTTTTGTCTCACAAGTGAAGGACGAGAAGGAGGAGGGCAGCTAAGTCCACTCCTGTTGTCCCAGAGTCCACTCCAGAGCCCGCTCCAGTCCGGGAGGCTTCAGAGTCCACTCCAGAGCCCGCTCCAGTCCGGGAGGCTTCAGAGTCCACTCCAGAGCCCGCTCCAGTCCGGGAGGCTTCAGAGTCCAATCCAGTCCAGGAGTCTTCAGAGTCCACTCCAGAGCCTGCTCCAGTCCAGGAGCTCTCAGAGTCCACTCATGAACCTGCTCCAGTCCGGGAGCCGTCAGAGTCCACTCCAGAGCCTGCTCCAGTCCAGGAGTCCTCAGAGTCCACTCATGAACCCGCTCCAATCCGGGAGCCCTCAGAGTCCACTTCAGAGCCTGCTCCAGTCCGGGAGCTCTCAGAGTCCACTCCAGAGCCCGCTCCAGTCCGGGAGGTCTCCAAGTCCACTACAGAGCCTACTCAAGTCTATGAGTTTACTCCCGATCCCACTCAAGTCTACGAGTTTATTCCAGAGTTTGCTCCAGTCTACGAGTCCACTCTAATCTACGAGATCATTCCAGAGTTTGCTCCAGTCTACAAGTCCGCTCCAGAGCCCACCTCCGCTGAGGTGGTCTTCAGCTCCGCCTTGCTGCCTAGGCAAGCTTGCAGCTCTGCCCTGGTCGCCCGCCGGGGTTCCTATTCAGCCAGAGCCTCACTGGTCCATTCCTCTGGCCCTGCCCTGGCCGTTCCTGTTTGGCCGGAGCCTCGCTGGTTTGTCCTGCCGGCCCCGTCTTGGCCTCCTGCCCTGCCAGTTCCGCTCTGGCACCCTGTTATCTGGATTATCTTATTTGTGCTTTCTGCCTTTGCTTGGTTTGGGATGATTTGGATTTATATTAAAGCCGCACGTGGATCTTCTATGAAGTATTTGAGTGATATTCGTGACATTATATATATATATATATATATATTATGACGAGTCGGCTGCCTCCCCCCTAATTATCATCATCACCCCGTCCCTTAATCGCCGCCCTTCACCAGGCTCCCGACAGGAGTGAGTGTGTGAGAGAGGAGGGGAGCAGAATCATCCAGGTCTGGCGACATGTGATGAGGCACACCTGAAGTGAATGGAGTCTCGTCACCGCCGCTGTTAAATGCCGAGCGCGCCTCTTCTCGAGAGACCGGTCTCTTACCCATGCATGCACGCTGGTGTCCTCGTGGGTCCAGGAAGGGTGCGTAGAGGGACTCCTGCGCCGCAAGTGCCGCCAGCTGCCGGATCCGCGGTCCGGATGTGAACCGCACACGTGACACGGTTGTCGGGCCAGGATGCCGGGCCATTTAATCCCCAGGAAGCGCCGTGGGCCAAAGAAGGACGAAGCCGCTCAGAAGAATCCACCACCCCTCGCGCCACGGACCAAAAGGGGAGCACGTGCGGCCGCCGGATATATATATTAGGGCTGTCAGTGTAACGCATTAACTTGATTAATTAGTTATGAAAAAATAACGCGATTAAAATATTTTAATGCAGTTAACGCACTGGCCCCGCCCCCAGACCTGTACGTCATCTTCAATTTCCTACAGTTGACTGTTGACAAATATGATGCAGGACAACAACTCCATAAATGCATATTCAAGATATTGGGGCAAAAAATGCCCCTGTATGAGTTTTTGTCTCATATTTATATCATATGATAAGCGATAACACACCAGCAGCGAGAGCAATTATCACATGAGTGCTGTTTTAATGGGCTACTGAATCATTGATTTACACGATTCGATCAAAACGCGGATTCATTCAGAAACTAAACATCGCTGTGTTGCTCAGAAATGCACAACAGTTCTGCTGTGGCTTTATAGGTAATATGTTCGTTGGCAAAATTGAACAAAAACACACAATATTGTGTTTAAATTTTGCACAATATTAACTTCTTATTTACTGAACTGTTGTATAAAATCACATTTGCACTCGTGTTCTTTGTGACGCATAGAGAGAGCCGTTTACTGAATTCCTGAATGAATCAGTCGTTTGAACGAATCGACTCATAAAGACATTTACCGCCACCTGCTGGTAGTTTTAGTTCTTTAGAGTATAATTTTTTATTTATTAAAAAAAAAAACATTAACGGGATCGTTCACCAAAAATAAATAAATTCTGTCATTTACTCACCCTCATGTTGTTTAAAGAAGAAGGTAAAGAAGGTATTTTGAATACTGTTGGTAACTAGGCTGTTTTGGCCACTAGTGACTTTCAATGCATGAACAAAAAATACTGAGATGTTTCTCAAATTATCTTCTTTTATGTTCCATTAGTTTATGTTAGGCCATTGTAGCCTAAACATTTAAAACAATAATATGTTTTAAATGATCTTTTGAGGGTATTTTCACAGCCAAATTTAGTTTGCGATTAATTAGATTAATTAATCACAGCACCCTGTTATTAATTAGATTAAAACTTTTAATCGACTGACAGCTCTAATATATATAGTAAAATACATAGGTGACTACTCAAACATTTGCATCAGTAGTGGTGTTTGTTTTTACTAATATTTTATGCAGTCCACTAATAGTCTATGCAGTCCATTTAAACCATGAGTTTAGGAGAACACTACTGCATATATGACTTTCTTGTTCATCACACTGGAAATGCAAAGTCAGATGCATTACATTGTGCTCTGTTACATGGTGCACATTTAGGCAAATGTAGTAGATTTGCCAAAACCCATCAAGGCATTCATGCATACAGTATAATCACAAACTGCACTGCAAGTATGGGTAGTATGCTATTCTGAACACAACCGATGTTTAAAACATTACCCACTATTTTGAAACAGGCGTCAAGAAATCAATTAAAGAGGTATACTGCATTATCGTATGCAAATGTTATCAAATAATAAACCAGCAATAAAATAAATGGCACATTATAATATTAATCATGCAATCATTAAAAAGACAATTGTGTTGACGAAGACCATTCAATCAGCAAGTTTATTTGCAAATGAATTACAGTGAAGTTTAGTAGTCCATCCACTGGTTTCTGCACTTCCACTCTAAACCATTGCTTATTTACACATTTTATATTTATATTTAAATTTGAAATCCCCAAACTAACAGTTCATTATACGCTCTCGTGGCATGAGAAAAATTGACATGATAAATGAGTTTTGAATATGGGAAATCATCCAGCCGAGTGCAGTGAGTTTACTCATTTTAAAAAGTGAGTAAAAACAGCATTTCAACACAAACTGTTTAGGTTTGTTAACATACATGTCCACAATGACGTGTTCAGCACATTGTTTTTTAAATAGTCAAAGTATTCAACTTAAATAAATAGATGGGACATTTCATGTATTTTAAATGCTGCATACCTCAGCAACAGAAACTAAATTAATACTCACGTTTGTATATTAATGAAATATTATTTCTTCTTACACTGTGCACATGAAGGCATTCTGAATATTAAGTTACATTCTATTACAAAATACCAATATGGCTCTCACAATTATTATTTGTGCCTTGAGTGTAGTTTTACTCTCCGTTCTCCATTTCTACATCCATTGTATCAAAACAAATAAAGAAAGAGCACTACCCTACTATTTTAGTCTCCACTCATAAAATCCATGACTGTAACCGTAATGAAGGACTGTGGCATGATGCATTAATATGGCATCACAGCACACTGGAAACAAACAATCAAAGAGGATCCGTGTGTTTATCTAATGCTCGAATATTCAACCCCATTCTGCTAGTCCTCCATCCAGAACCCTTTCCAAACACTTAAATTATCTACAGCTATGAATTAAAGGAGTTGTAACGGAAACAACGAGAGTCAAAAGCAGACATTGTGCGGCTCTTCAGTGCATGTAACTGCATTCGTTTAGCACCTGAATTTAGCTCCCATAACTCCTCAGTAAAATATACATTCTCCCCGACATTATGATGAAAGGGGACTACATGAAATCATCATGTGAGTTAATAAGTGCGTACAAATATGATTATTACTGACAGCGCAGAGACGTTCTTGGGCTGTCTGTCTGAATGAATTCTGAATGTCATTATATGTGTTTCACCTGCTCATTCGGACATTATCTACATCGTGTTGGTCATGCATAATAGTGTGGTGTGTACTGTATGAATCTTCATGACGAGCCCTTTGACTGAAGCAGTTCTGAACTCTCTTGGCTGTCGGTCTGTCTGGTCAGAGTTCGTTGCAGGCAGAGTTTTCTGTGGTCTTAAACATTAGTATAGAGTTGTATATTTTGAGAGCCGGCCCTAGTTTAATGCTGAGGATCTTCACCAGGTCCACCTGAGTCAATAAGAGGAAGGCCTCGCCATCAATTTGCTGAAACCAAACAACAACAAATCAGCAGATAAACATACACAGCTGTCAGAGAAGAAGATGCATTTCCTGTGCAATTCTTTGATTCAGTGTAATTTCTAGGTGTTTTGCTCTACAACAGTGTTAAAACAGAACGTCCTAAACTACTGCTTGATGAAATTCATGCAACAGAACAAACATCTGATTTCTGTTCACAAACAAGAGACATTTGGCATTGTATGAAATCCGGGGATTTTATATCACCATATAGTCATTTGAAAATATGAAAATTGAAATACAGTGGAAAATGTCTTATATTTTAAATAATAATAATGTATTGATTTGTATAATCCAGCAATTAAAATACTGCATACATGAAAGGTGCTTCATGTCCTAAATGCTTATTTTCTCTTCATATTTTGATCTTCATAGACGCAATCCAAAAGATCAGATAATTACAGATGCACCATATTAAAATTCTGTCGGACACAAGAAGTTGATAATTATTTTATATGTTATGGATGATGAACAATAACTGGACAATATTAAAATGATCATTTGTGTAAATAAATTAAAATGAACACACTTGAATTTAGGCACCATGATATTATAATGTGCAGAATGACAAATTTATGTTTATTTTGAAATGTATTAAAGTTTATATAATTAAATAATTAAGATATTAATGTTTTTAAAGATTAACTTCAAGTGAAATGGCAATAAAGTTAATCTAAAAGTAAAAATAATAATACTAATTCACAGCAGGTTTCCTCAAGAGCTTCCTCTGGGCTTTTATAATGGATTTTGTCTAATTTATGTGTAAAATGAGGTCTGTGGTAAACATAAACAGATGATATTTGGACGTTTTGATGTCAACGTAAATTACACAAACTCAGCCCCCAAACGTTCTTATGTAGTTACTTATAACAAACATATGTTTTTAAAAATAAACATAACGACATAACGAAAACTTGAAATTGCATCATATGACGCCTTTAATTTATATTTACCTCAGACCTTGTTTTATTGGAACATTATTGTTATTGTTATAATGGAAAAACCCCATAATAAAAAAACCCATAGGAAGATCTGGAGGGAACCCAGGGTACTCAGGTGCCGATGACCTTTAAACTACGCAAACAGGAGAACTCTTGTTTTAGCCTATAATTAGTAACACCATTGCATCTGTTCCTCGCAATGACAAACCACATCCTCCCATTATAATAAGCAGATCTGTTCACACTGGAAGTGCCTCATTACATCATTTTTACACCACTGGATTTCCACTGAAAATTAACTATGATTTCAGTGAGGGATAATGCACATCCAGCTGGTTGTTATCGCAGAATAACCCCTGACAGGCACTTTTATGGGGTTATTCAGCGATGACAACCAGCGGGATGTACATTATCCCACTTATTACACGGCTACTTGATTCTGAGTTAAATTATTTGAACGCAAACAAAACAATTGGCATCAACTGCATTTGTATGAAACGAGAGAGCAAGTCCGCGATACCAGGATGACATGATTTAATAATTGCACATAGTATTGTTTTGAGTATTAATATTTTATTAGCTAAGCGAACACAAAGCATCCACAAACAAAAACTATTCCAAGCAAGCGTATAGGGCCGACTGCAGTTAACCGGATGAGCCTGTGTTATCAGCTTTTACCGGTTGTTATCGCGGAATAACATACCTCGGAATGTCGCGACTGACCAATCAGAATCAAGCATTCCACAGAGTCGTGTAACAAGGTAGGATATCTTCAAACTTACATATTATACACATTGACATATCTAGTGTAGACAACATCCAGCTGCTGCACCTGCACCACGACTGATGTTTTTCCCTTTTAACATAGACACAGTGTTTTAAATGAAGATTTAAGAGGTGCTTTCAACTTAAAGGTTCAGTTGGGAGGAGTGAACACTAGATAGACCACTGCAATAAATCTAATGAGATCACAGCACAATGACTGAATGGAACGGGTGATTATGTGAGACAAGTGCAATCTCAGTAAATCCAAAGCTGCTGTCATCTTATAAGATAAATGTTCATGGGATTCAAAAGTCTAAGTCTGGGGCCTGGAAAGAAACAACATGTTAGAAATTTTACAGTCGGAAAACAAATAATGGTTATGATAGAAAAGGAAAGATTCTGCAAATTTCTATTTCACAAATCGAGTGCTGCTGCCATTGATTAAAAAGGGCACATAACAGATAATAAGACATTCAGAAATGCATGTGAAATGCAATTTTAAACTCAAACTGTTATGCTAATATTATATATTTTAAACCGAAAATGTTGCATGCAATTAAAACATTTTCACAATCGGTCATGTGCGTGAAATGGATTGGCTGCAGGTAATTAAACTCATTCACAATATTACCACTTATTTCGCCTAAATGCCATAAGCAGAACAGAGCTATGTAAAACATCCCAGTGTTGTTTTAATAAATATCAGCATTTTATATTATAAAACAAACTGTTTCATAATATAAAAGAACACAAAGCAGAATAATATTCACCAGTGCTCTGAGACATTTACACCCCAATGTATGACAGGACTCATTAATGCAGCTCCCATTTGCACATATAATTAGAAAACACAGGACAAGACACAGAAGCGAACATGAGGAGAGAGAGATGGGAAATAAGAGCAGAAGATCAGACAGACAGCAGCTCAGAGAGCAGAATTATTTAAAGCAGCAGCCCTCTGGCCTCTTTAACATTCTTGCTAGCAGTAAACAGGCATGATGCTGTGACCTGGGATGACTTGACATGCCTATAAATGGTTTCAATGAGATCTCCTCACATATCCCATCATGCCCCATGCTCTCTTCCTTATGCATTATATTCTGTTCCTAAAATGCTTCAGTTACTCCGGCTGCCAAACCTCATGATGGAAGACTAGTTAAATGTTTCTCACAGGATTCAGTCGTTCTGATTCCACTCGTGATTAAAGGGAATAATTTACCTCCTCTCTGAAGGTGCGCACTTGCTCCTTGCAGCCTGGAAGTCCTTGGATAAACTCGATCACCTGCAGAATAACAATGAGGATTAGAGGAGGTGCAACAGCTGAAGATAACCGAGCCCGAAACAAATCAACTGATCTAAAAAAAAAACTCGCATTAATTCAACAAAGCATAATTGTCTTGAATTTGAATAGCAAGTGGGAAATGCAGATGCACACGGGAGCTCTGTGTACCTCATCCACGCTCCACGCTGCCACTTTACTGGCCGTGATGCCTGCCACTGTTGGAAGGAGCTTGCTGTGCTGATCCCAGCAGTGATGCATGCTGGGAGATGGGCTGGAACACGGCATGAACACAGACTGGTGCAAAGCCTGCTGTAGAGTCAGCTCTGAGAGAAACAGAGAGAGAGAGAGAGAGAGAGTCAATTCCATAGTAAAAGACAATGCTTTGGAATATATAGGGAAATTATACAATTGCATAAATTAGGAATATGATAATATTTCTAGCTGAAATCCATAAGACAATCATTATTATTATTATGTTATGGCTGATAAATATTAAGCTACTGTGTCCAAAAAAATGTAAACACTAAAACTAAAAACAATTGTTAGGAACATATAATAGGAAGAGATAAATATTCAATTTGAAGTGAGACAAAAATATGCCTTTATAATACAGGAGTAACCTCTGCAATACTGGTAAGATATTAAAACTCTGGTTGGAACATAGATAACAGAGATATACAGTAACCGATAGATTTGAGTAATCGGTTCAGTATGAGACAGCTGTAAGGGGTATAGGCTGAAACAAATATAGATAAATATGCAGTATAAAGTAACACTGACAACTGTAATGCACATTAAATCTGGAGCCCACAGAAATGAACAGCAAGAACAAAGGCTTGATTTTAGACACTAGGTGAACATTTGCACATTGGCTAACAAGATGGATAAAAGAACAAAGTGAATTCAGAGCTGAAGTAGGTCTATTATGCATTTCCAAGTAACATTAATAAAGGTTGTTTTCCTTTTGTCGAGTAATGAATTTAACCCTTTTTTATAATACTGCACTGTTTTTGCTGTATCGTTGTTAGATAAAAATGCTATCATTATTACAGCTTTAGGCAGAAATTAGTCCACAGTTAAATACTAATATTAATAATTAACATCCATTAATGTTGACAATACCGAATATGGTCACAATATACTACACATAAATGGGTTGGCAAAATATTGTGCACAAAGCACAAAAACTACTTGTGTCTTATGTTACATGTATGTTGCAGACCATCTCTCGCAGCTCTGTTGTAAGTCCCTTTGAATAAATGTATTAATGTAATGTATAAATGTAAATGTAGGTATACGCCTACACACTCTTTATACATGTTAAAGGTTATGCTTGTCTGGACTAATGGGTGCAGTCTCCATTAAATCATAAAGAATGTAATTTATGTTTAATCATACTGATTAGCTGACACAGAATCATTTCTAGCAATGTTAACACAATACCAATCTCAGTGTTCAGTACCAATCCCAGTGAAAATAATGGATACTAAGTTTGTTACAAAAAAATACAACAAATTGCAACTAAAGACTCATTTTAACTGATTAATTACTTTAAATAATATTATAATATAATTATAAAGGTAGATTAAAAGCAATACAAAACTATGTAGTGATGTAGTTTCATAGGGTCATATGACGTTGCTGTGAAATGTGTTTATGCGGTTTAAGGTTAAAAAAACACATTATTTTCCACATACTGTACTTATACTGTCTTTTTACACGTTGCATCATGCCGCGTAAACATACAACCATGTCTGCATTTGTGATCATAGAAACGACAAACAACAAGCGCTACTCTACACTGCTCAAAACTCATCGCATCATATGACCCCTTTAACTCTGTATAGCTTAAAAACAAACAGGTAAAAAATATTTTTTTCCCAGACAGCAGCAGTAGGTGATTCTTCTCATTTTTCTTAGCATTATTGCTTTGATAATTATTGCTGACATCACAGACATCAGCAGGTCTAATCAGCAGCAGTTACAAAAATTTACCTGTTTAACTGAGGTACACTTCACCTTGTTGAAGTTGCTCTTTTTGCTTTTGTTCAGAAGGTCCATAAGAATAGAGCGGCCTTCCAGCAGCACCCTTCAAGAGTGCAAAAAGCCATTGAAATTCACCCAGAGAGTGTCACGTTCTCAACAGATATTGGTAAAACTGGTTCACGGTCCACTTTAGAGTGGCATGCACAGCATTGACGAGCTGTTGTGCTCCGCGCCGGAGGCAAAACACTGAGATAACACCCTTCCCCACTGTCTGCCTTTCATGGCTAATTCACTCTGACACAGCCCTTCTTTGAAGTGCAAACAAAAAGAAACACAACACGTGTTTTTCTCAATACAATGGCAATAAAGAACTATTCGATTCAGAGACGAGGTCAGTCTGCACATATATCAAATAAGAAGTAAATTGTGAGGATCTACAAATTAGCCAAGGTGTGGTAACGCAGTATTACAGTGATGTTAACACATGTAAGGTGGTTAAGCACAATATGAACCCTCCTAACTTTGGTATAATACTCAAGTGTATGGCCTTGAGTAGCATATTGCTTTTATAAAATGCCATGATTGGACAAGAGACTAAGCACATCATTTGGGTCCCGTCCGGATGCTGTGCTTCTAGTCTGTAGGAGCTTTGTATGCTTGTATTTTTGTCTTCTTGGAAGCACATCTTCTCTATATGACACTTGAGATAGGAATTGAAATTGGTAGGACTTGATGTAAACAGGTGTAACAAATGGCCAATGACACCCTAAAACTCAGAGTGCCAGTAGACACAGAGGCCCGCAACAAGTCTGGTGTGGCAAAGCGTGAAGACATGCAAATGTGCATTGTTGGGGGGGTGGGGGTCCAGGAACGTAGTTAGAAACCACTACCCATAGTTTTTGTTTTGTCTCAGCCACAGAGGCAATCTCAGAATTCTGCCCTCCTAGGGCTTCGCTCTGGCCATCTGCTGGAGTTCCTGTCCCACCCTCCATGATCCCTCCCACCAGCACCACCTTTGCCATCCACCAAAGGGCGTGTTTGGGTTGTGTGCTCTCTGGTCCGTGTGATATATTGCGTGTGCGGAGAGTGGCGTTCGGACCCCAGCACTCTTGTCTAGTTTTGTTTCAGTTTAGTCTCGGGGTTTGGACTAATGATTCCGAGATCCTGTTGGTTCCCAGTTGTGCTGTGTCCTGTCCTGCCATATCATGTCTTGACTTGCTGTAGTATTACAGCTAGAGTTCGTTCTAGAACCAGGAATTATGACCATGTTAGCCTGGTTCTGTCAACACTGCACTGGCTCCATATTCGTTGTATAGATTTTAAAATCTTGCTAATTACTTATAAAGCCCTGAATGGTTTAGCACCTCAGTACTTGAGCGAGCTCTTTATAATCCTTTTAATCGCATTATAGTCCTCCACAACTGCTGTGTTCTCAAAACAATTTGATAATACCTAGAATATCAAAATCAACTGCAGACGGCAGATCCTTTTCCTATTTAGCACCCAAACTCTGGAATAATCTACCTAACATTGTTCGGAAGGCAGACACACTATGTCAGTTTAAATCTAGATTAAAGACCCACCTCTTTAACCTGGCTTACACATAACACACTAATATGTTTCTAATTTCAAATCCATTAAAGGAATTTTAGGCTGCATCAATTAGGTCAACCGGAACTGGGAACACTTCCCATAACACCCAATGTACTTGTTACAACCTAAGAAGAATGGCATATACGCTATAGCAGACGCTATATTAGTCTGTTTCTTTCTTATTCCGAGGTCACCGTAGCCACCAGATCCAGTCTGTATCCAGATCAGATGGTGGATAAGCACCTAGAGATGACATCGACAGCCCTGAATATCAGCGGAGACCAGGACAACTAGATGAGCCCCCGAGACAGATCTCCAGTGAAGACCTTGACTCCTAGATGGCCACCATTCTGTCACCGATGGAGTTTTGGTTCCTTGCTGCTGTCGCCTCTGGCTTGCTTAGTTGGGGACACTTAATATCCAGCGATATCGTTGACTTGATTGCACAGATACTATTTAAACTGAACTGAGCTGGATGATGACATCACTGAATTCAATGATGAACTGCCTTTAACTGAAAATTTAGTGTTTACTATTGTCCTTTTGCATTATTGACACACTATTTTCCTATTTGATACTGTAAAGCTGCTTTGTCACAATCTGTATTGTTAAAAGCGCTATATAAATAAAGGTTACTTGACTTGACTAGTATTTCCCCTTATGGAGTAGGTTTTGTTTTATTTTGCAGCCCGCTCTCCCTGTCACAGCCACAGAGGCAGTCCCAGAATCCATTCCAGCCCTGGAGTCCAGGTTCTGCCCTCCTCTGGCTTTACCCTAGCCATCTGTGGGGGTTCCTAATCTCCTGGAGCCATCCTGGTCTGTCCCACTGGCACCACCCTGACAACTCCAGTGGGGTTCCCAACCCACCGGAGCCTCCATGGTCAGTCACTCCGGCTCCACCCTGGCTGTCCACCAGGACTCCCAACCCACCGGATACTCCCTGGTCCCTCCCAATCACACCACCTTGTGTTGTGTCCTGTCCTGCCATATCCTACCTTGCCTTGCCAGCAGGGCTGTGTAAAATATTTAAATCTCGATTTTTTCAGAACGTTTGACCGACTCTCGATTTTTAACTAGTCAACTTGAAATGCGAGGAAAATGCTTTTAAAAAAATCTCAAAAGTCAAGGTAATTCAAATTCAAAATTATTTAAGGTATAACACAAGTAGACTATTATTAACTATAAATGTCCTGTGAAAACAACAGCAGCTTTCAGCCTGTCACCATGATGCAAACATGAAATATCAGACATAAATGTCCTGTGAAAACAACAGCAGCTTTCAGCCTGTCACCATGATGCAAACATGAAATATCAGACATACAGCAGTTACAGGTTTTTTTACTCACTTGCGCTGCTTTTCCATTGTTTTTTCTATGTAAACATGGACGCGTTTGATTGTAAAAAGGGTGTAACACACGCAGCATCCTCTGAGAATTTGACAGGTAAGCACCTGCGAGGCGGATACTACCAACGAAAAACTCAGCATGGTGAGAGAAAAGCATGCGTTCAATAGCTATTTATTTCTATCAAAGGCAAGAACCTTATTGTGCATTTTCAATTAGCCTATGTGGAAGAAGAAAACCTTTCAACCACGAAAAACTCCACATCCAATTTAAAACAACTGAAAGGGCAGCACGGCACAGTAAAACTTCTCGAGAAAGAACCAGCTTGGAGAGCAATGCATCAGCTTCTACCGTCGAGTCCAGAGCCAGTGGATTAGAGACCTGCACTCCTGCTGGACCCAACACAACAGAGGGCGGTGCGGGACAAGAGCTGATGGTCGAGTGCGTAGAGACTCGTGTGTGTGCGGGATGCGGGAGAATAAAATGTTTCGCAGGACTCCCGCAAAATAGACATATATAAACATAAAATATCTAAAAACAAATAAATTGTTATTCATCCATTGCACAAAAGCAACAAGAACAACTAATATAAAACAAAAACGATTAACAAGCGCAAGCATAGGCAGAGTTTCTGTTATAAAATGTGTTTGCAGCGTTGAGCAATGTCGATTTCTGGAACGCATTGCCCAGTCAGAGGTGTTAGAATCCACTCACCGTTCAAAACGCTGGAGTTCCTGCGCAGTGCTGAAATTTGCGTGCTCACGAATCCTCTCATTATAACACACGAATTGCAGACATTATGACTGATTCATTATGCATACATTTATTGTGTTATAACAGAGCTTTGTGAATTGAGATAAAGGGAGCGCTCTTTCCTGGCATTCTTTCATGCCAAACCATGTACGCAGCAGCCGTACGCTACTAGCATTTAGTTAAAAATAAAAGTGGTTTGTGAATGTTGATGCTTTAATAACAAATATTTATCGGGAGCGTTGTTGTGGCTAGGTGACACAAAACTTACTATTTCTTGTCAATTTCATGGATGTACAGAAAAAAAGTAGCATAACTAGTAATGTAACTAACTACTTTTGAAATAAATTAATCATAACAGTAACTTGATTACTTTTAAAAGGAGTAATCAGTAATTTAATCACATTTCCAGAGTAACTTGCCCAACACTGTTCCTGACCCACCGAAGCTAACCATGGTCTGTCCCTCCGGCTCTGCCCTGGCAGTCCACTAGGACTCCCGATGCACCGGATCCTCCCTGGTCCCTCCAATAATATGTGCTTTGTCATGTGTGCATACTGTGGTGTTTGGATTCCAGCACTCCTGTCTAGTTTAGTTATAGTTTAGTGTTGGGGTTCGCACTAAAGTACTGTTGGTTTCTAGTTGTGTCTTTTTTTGTCTTGCCCTGCCCTATCCTGCCTTGCCTTTCCAGAGTACTCCCCCCATGAGGGTAGTTTTTGTTTTGTTATTTAATAAAAGCTCTTAGGGGAGGGGGAGCAATCGATCTCGGGTTCGGTTCAAGTGTGACTCCTAAGGTACTGTTAGTTTCTAGTTGTGTCTTTTTTTGTCTTGCCCTGCCCTATCCTGCCTTGCCTTTCCAGAGTACTCCCCCCATGAGGGTAGTTTTTGTTTTGTTATTTAATAAAAGCTCTTAGGGGAGGGGGAGCAATCGATCTCGGGTTCGGTTCAAGTGTGACAGCACCCTTATATTCACTCCTTCATGACTTCTCAAGAAAACATGCCTGTACTTTAGTTTGAACGAGTTCTCTAAATGACACTGTCGTGAGCGAGAGAAGTCAATGGTTGAATATTCACTGCAGAGTTATGAGGCTATGGCTGCTCACTTTCTGACATTAATTAGTGGAGCACATAGCCGGTGGGCACCATCTGATGCCTGTTATATAAACACTGTAATCGTCTCTGATAATGGCTCTATCCATGTCATTAGCTGTCATAAATGCACTTCCTCGAGGGAATTCATAAAAACATGCTGTTGAATACATCTAGATATCAAAGTGGCAATACCGTGTTTGCTCTTGCAGTCTTTTAGGCCTGGATCAAATTCTCCTAAATCACCCTCTAATGTATTCCAGTGTATTCCAATGAAAAATAGCATAAACTCACAAGCGAAACTCAAAAAGACAAATGAAGCAGCAACGAGAGTGCAGATGTCAGGTATTGTCACTGCAGTGTTTGTTTCATATAATTGCGTTATTGCGGGAAGAGTATCTGTGCTTTTTCATTCTCAGCACAGAATGCATTAGTCTTTTAGACCTGGATCAAATTCTCCTAAATCACCCTCTAATGTATTCCAGTGTATTCCAATGAAAAATTGCATAAACTCACAAGCGAAACTCAAAAAGACAAATGAAGCAGCAACGAGAGTGCAGATGTCAGGTATTGTCACTGCAGTGTTTGTTTCATATAATTGCGTTATTGCGGGAAGAGTATCTGTGCTTTTTCATTCTCAGCACAGAATGCATTATGGGATGCCAGTGCAAAAGTCAAATCACATTTATTTGTATACAGCTTTATACAATACAGATTGGTTCAAAGCATCTTCACATTAAGAAAATGGGAAAATAACTGTTAATGTAAAATTAATCAATTATGAAAAATTCAATTTAGCTGTAAAGCAGCTCTACAGAAGATAATAGTGTCATTATGCAGCTCACTTTAGTTCAATTGAGTTTACTAACAGCGTTGATGCTGCAAAGTTAGTGTCATTGTCCAGCTCAATTCAGTTCAAATTTAGTTCCCTTCCGATAGTGTCAGTGCAGTGAAATTGATAATATTACTGAATACTATCAATCAGAATTTTCATTTTTGGGTCACCCTCAGGCTCATCTAATTGTGATTATGTGCTAAAAGAAAAAAAATTATAAGTTTAACATTTTATTTTTAATATATCAAGGCATGTATAATGGGGAATGTACTGCATAGTGGTAATGAGCCATTTACTCAGTAACTTCCACAGTCTCGTTTAACTCCAGGGCAGGGCTGAATTAACCATATGCATATTCAAGCATACACCCATGTGCACACATATCAATATTTTCACACGTGTACACAGTCTCCTGCTCCTGGCCAGTTCAGTCCAAATGTTTTTGGCCAACACTCACACACATCTTCATCACATCTGTCCTCACTGGCATTTTTCCCCAAAATACTCAATCAGGCTTCCACTGCTTAAAACCCACTCTAAACCTCCACACAATCCCCGAGGCTTGCAGGAGCTGCCTCCAAACTGTCTGTCCTCATTCTGTGGATCCGTCAGCAGCTCGCAAAAACCTTTGTATCGCAGAACTACTCTATTACTGCCTCCTCAGGATGAAACGCTTATGTTGTATCACCGGACATCACAGCAACCGCGCTCTGCTGCTCTGAGTCGTGCTTCACAGGTAGATCCTTCAGGGTATCTAGTCAAAGTCACATCAACCTGTTGCATCCACAAGCCCTGCAGCCCAGTCGTGCTGATTTGCATTCATCAAGAAGATCAAGTCTTTTTATACACAACTCCTCGTCTGGACTCTTATCATCCCTATACTGCATTACCACAGTAATCCTCAATCAAAACTCGGCAAATTACTCAAAATGCAGCATTTCTTTTGGTCTTTAATGAGCCCAAGAGAATGCACATTTCACCTCTCTTCACTTTATGAAAATAAAAACCTTTGTATTGCAGAACTACTCTATTACTGCCTCCTCAGGATGAAACGCTTATGTTGTATTCCTCATTTGCAAGTCACATAAAATAAAAGCACCTGATAAATTAATAAATGCAAAAAATGTTGCAAGATAAAAAGTGATTCCACTTGTCTGCTTTCTACTTTGTCACTGCTATGCTGCAATAAACTTCTTCTCCATTGAGATCTTCAACGTCCTCATAATTTTTTCTCACGTTACAATTATCCATGGCTCAAGCCCCAGTAGATTACCACTCGCATCCAAGTACAGAAGCTGAGGTTCTCGCATCTTTTATTCGCAGACTGTCTTTGACGCCTGTGACCGGACCGAGTTAAAAAGCTTTTCAGCCGAGGAACAAAGAACCCGCGGTTTGAGTCCAGCCCTCTTCCTCATTAGTGACTGCCACTAAACCTTTAGATAACCAGCCACAGAGGAAGTTGTTTACTGCAGTTGTTGAAGCTTCTGTCACGAAGTGTGTGTAAACATACTTTGCAATAAATCTGATTCGGATTCAGTCAAACAGGAATGTAATTCTTGTTTTCATTTCAAAGCTCAATCCTGACATGCACCAAGTGACAATCAAATATAATATGAACACACGGTGAGGGTGGAGTAGATCTACCTTTGGTTTCGGTGACTGATGACACCTCACTCTCCACTTCCTCTTCCTGCGGCAGCTCCTCGACCTTCCGAACTTTACAGGGCCGACCAACCCTGAGGGAGAACATCATCAGAGCAAGACACACAGGCAGATGGGATATGTGACAGCAACTCTGTTCAGAATAGAGCACTACCATACTACTCTTACTATGCTGTATGTAGTAGTGTGTATAGTTTGCAAACTACAAATTGACTACAACACCCCAGATCTGCATGTGAGAACAGCTGTTTTTCTTTCTGAGATAAAAACTGGACAACACTCATCATGTGACATCAGACTGTGTAGGCGGTATAAAGCATATACTGCACAGTATGCAGCAAGCTAGTATTCCAATTCGAACGCAGCCGCAGCTTTGAATGGCTTACTACACAGTGTGTCGGGCAAGACTACTGTAGCTCATATAAGGATCATCTATTCTGCATGCGCTGATCTGTTTTGCACAAAATTCCTAACAAGTATTTATGGCCAAGGTATGATTTTGCATATATTTTGTGCGTAATATAAAGCTCATTATGCAAATCCTTTCGGTAAAATGAACAGAAATTTCTCAAGGATATTTGTGAACAGCTGAACAGGAGAAATGAAATCTCAGAATAAATAAACGTGTGTCTTCAGAGATGTTGTTTAAAGCATCTCTGTCATGACATAGTGAGCGATGGCACGACCTTCCTAAGTCATCGCAACAGTTTGCAGCAATATGTTTGGGTGAAAATGAAGCTTGCTGACTAACAGGTCATTATGTCAACAACACAACTGAGAAAAATCATTTTACTCTGAGTAAATAATGAATCAGCCTGTTAGACAGAGTCAAGGACAGCTGTGTGTGTGTGTGTGTGTGTGTGTCAGAGGACAGCAGTGTGCATCCGGCCAGACCTGATGTTTATTTTATTTATTTTTTTGCATAGACAATTAAGTCTTTGTTAGGAGGTTTTATTGCAATGTGACATTATCTTGTCAACACATTTCCCCCAGACATTCTCATTACGGCAATGTAAAACAATTTCATTCTCATTACTATAATACATAATTACTTTTTCTTATATTATTTAAATTGTAAAATCATCACTTTTACAACCGTCTAACATTACCGAATGAATTGTTGACCCAAGAAGTGGTTCAGGACTGTGAAGCTTTTGGGGGTATCGATGGAAGCAATTGACTCCATCTATGTTTTGATCATTGATCTGAATCCAATCCGGACAAAAACTTTGACACAAACACCATTTTCTCAGATTTTTTTTTTCAACATCTTGCGTTTTTTTAATTTATTATTATTATTAAACTTACCCACATTCAAGTGCTGATAAGAATGCATTAGACTAAAATAAAAAGGTTTCTTTTTTTAATTAACCCTAGTAAAAAATTATAAATTTATTTTTAATAAAGAAAGAGTATAGTTCAAATCTATTAACATATTTACTTGCGTTTTTTTTTTTTTTATTATTATTATTAAACTTACCCACATTCAAGTGCTGATAAGAATGCATTAGACTAAAATAAAAAAGGTTTCTTTTTTTAATTAACCCTAGTAAAAAATTATAAATTTATTTTTAATAAAGAAAGAGTATAGTTCAAATCTATTAACATATTTACTGACATACCAGACTTACTGATATAAAAATTTTAATTAAACTTTATTTGGAGAACTACTTGTGCACAACACACATTTCTTAATATTATGCCTGAACTAAAATGTGTTTTAATATCACTATTAATAAGAATTGTATGATCTTTGAATAATACCTGTCTTTAAATGCAAGATATTTAAAGTGTACCTGAAGTATAGTTCCACTTCAGCACAATCAAATATACTCCAGTATATCTTTAGTTGGACTTCAGCACTACTTCACAAAATTAAAGTGCATTAAGCACAAACATAGTTGTTCCAATTTAGCAGACTTAATATGTAAATGTATTTGGAGTATACTTAGCATGAAATAAATGTATTTCACATACATTTTAGTATATTTATTTTTCACTAGGGAAAAGCAGAGGCTCTTTTCTTTCGTTTGCCATATTGCATGTTCAGATATACAACTAAATATTCTGGGGGCCATCAAAAATGCTGGCGGTGGCTGGCAGCTTTATTTTTAACAAAACACTGGCAGGGAGAGAGTTAATAATATTCACTTTATTACATTAATGAGAATAGCAACATAAAAGTTTAATTTTTATGCCAAATGAATCACCAAGAGAGTGACTGAGCCTAACCTTCGCTTGGTCTCCGTGCCAACGGGCTTCTTTGGCGGCGTTTCCATGGCAGCGCTTGCCGTGCTGGGTTTCTCCGGGTGTGATGGGGCAGAGGTGACGGGTTTGCTGAAGAAACAGAGGCGAGACGGTGATAAATGAACACATCACTGAAGGTGTGAAAGATGCCAGACATGACAAAGTCCTCCGTTTTATCTCAAACAGCACAGGTGTACTGTTCAGGGCCTGACAGGTTTTGATAAGCAAATCAAGTGCAAATATGCTGATTTATGCTAATTTATTTACAATAGCAAGTGTTATACTTCACTGAGCTCACCTTAAAATAAACAAATAAGTACACCAATTCAAATTCCAGATTATAATTTGAGTGGCCATATTATACACTTATGTCAAATTTTACATTCGATTTTATATTTATTTTCCATTTGTGTCCACTATTTGCTATTCAAGTTTCTTGCACCAAAAATGCCTTAATTTAGTAATGGTGAATGTCTCGGTTACGTATATAACCCTCGTTCCCTGAAGGAGGGAACGGAGATGTCACGTCAGTGACCGACGAATTGGGATCTCGTCTGAGAGCCCTATCATCTTCGAGTGTAAACTAAACGAGCCAATGCACATTGGCATGCGATAATTGCATCCAGCTGCTGCTCGTCATGACACGAACATAAGCAGGCAGCCGGTGCTTATTCAGGTTTTTGCTGAGGAGCTGAACCAATGACCCGGCACCCCGCGTTGGTACAGCAACTGTGGCGACGGGACGTCTCCGTTCCCTCCTTCAGGGAACGAGGATTATAAATGTAACCGAGACGTTCCCTTTCAGCCGGTCACTCCGAGTCACGTCGGTGACAGACGAATTGGGATCCCTAACAAAGCGCCACTATTGCTGTAAGCCCTAGTAAGCCACCTGGTCCCCCTGTGGCAACTGGGGTGGAAGATAGGACAGGGCTTACGTGGAGAGAGTCTATTACTGTTGTTTTACTAGACCCATACAGTAAGACTTACTGGCTAACACTGGGAAAGCGTACCCTTTCCAGGGATGCTGCGGAATCCACATCCTGCTCGAAGGGCAGTACAACAAATGGAATGTCTCTAAGGTGGCTCCGTCCCAGTTAGGATGGAGTCAACACCAGCAGGGATGGCAGAGTGTAGTCTGCCAATGGAAAGACACAGGCTCACCAAGAGGGGAACCGTACCGTGGAAGAATACACACATGGGATCACCGTGGGGATCACAACATATGGACACCTAGCCTAGCACAGGGGTCAACCAACAGGCATACTTACAACTGTTAGGCCTGATGCCGGACGCTCCGCCACGTCTGGATGCCAAGGGTGATGGAGAAACTCCACAGGGTTCGCCTTGTGGGGAACTGAACTGAAGAGCAGAATAAGCGCACGTATCTGGTCTGTAGAGGGGAATGGTGCACCAAGCGAGACACCGAGCAGTTCCTCTGGTTTTACTGGCTACTCGAGGCGAGTAAACGAGAGGACACTGGCTCTACATGAAGGCTATAAAATCTAGCAAACGTGTTTGGTGTCTGCCCAGCCCACAGCTCTACATATATCTGTCAGCAAGGCGCCTTGCACCAACGCCCAGGAAGAATTCGTTGACCGAAAATGCATGCAGGTACCCTACCCTCTTGATGGAATCTTTATCGACAGAGTTCTCAGCTCTGCAGACTGCAACGGCTCAAAAGGGGGATCAAAAAAAGATCCCAAGAGGGTACGGGGTTAGGGCGATGAGGATTTAGTCTCCTCGCGCCCCTCAGGAACCTGATGATCAGGTCGTGCTTTCCTAAAGACTCACCGTCTACAGCAGGGGTTCTCAACCGGGGAGTCGCGGCCCACTAGGGGGCCTCAGTGATCCTCCAGGGGGGCTGCAAGATAGCTTAATATTAATTTAAATAGGGCTGTGCGCCCCACGAGTGCAAATGTGATACTGATCTTATACAACAGTTCAATAAGTAAGAAGTAATAACATTGTGTTATTTTAGACACAATGTTGTCTGTTTTGCTCAATTTTGTCAACGAAAATATAAAGACAAAGCGAACTGTTCATCTCTGAGCAACACACAGCGGCATTTCATTTCTTAATGCACGTTTTGAACAAATTGGGTGAACCATTTGTAATAATAATATAGTAATAATAATACAATTTATAAAATAAATTATTAAAGGTATAGTTCACCCACCCAAAAATGACAATTGTGTCATCAT